CTAAACCGGGAATTTGTCAAGATTTGTCAAGATTTGTCTAGATCAAGATCGGGATCAAGGCCTGCAGCCAAATCCCAGCATGAGCCATTGTCAGATGAATAATTCTTCTAGTTTTCTCTTAGCTGGAAAGCACACTATGAGCTCTGACTAGAAAATCGATAATCCATGCGATTTTGAAGTTATTGGGTAACTAAACGAGTGAAACGATGACGCCGACCAAACCGTCACCAGCACGTCTACCAGCAAAGCAACCAAGTTTCCCAGCAAAGTACCCAGCCCAGCAAGAGTTTACCAGCAAAGTACCCAGGCCAGCAAAAGCAAGAAAACAAGAAAAACGAAGACTACACTAGAAGGCTTTGATTTCAAAAAAAAAAACAAAAAAACTATTTTTTAAAGCTTTATTTCCAAAGTTGGAATAAGATTTTAAGAAAAAAATTATTGAATTCTTTAAAACTAAGACATCAAATCATTTCTTGAACTTGAGAAAATCGATCAGGAAGATCAGGAAGATCAGGAAGATTAGGAAGATCAGGAAAGCAGGAAGATCAGGAAGATCAGGAAGATCAGGAAGATCAGGAAGATCAGGAAGATCAGGAAGATCAGGAAATCAGGAAGATCAGGAAGATCAGGAAGATTAGGAAGATCAGGAAATCTTTGGGATAAACTTTCCATTGACCATTGAAAAAGAGCCATTGGCATTTGAGGAGACTTCCTGGTGAACAATAGAGTTGGGAAATGATTGGGACAAGGAAATAAAGAAAGAAATGACAAGGAAAGAGATGACAAGTAAAAAGGATTGAGATTAGCTCAAGAATTTGATGCTAATCCCGTTCTGAAGCAGAAAATGGATCGTTTCTTCGCTGCAAAAGGATTTGTTTTGCTCTTTTTTTGCCTTTTGCGTTTTTTTGCCCGGTTTAGTTACCCAATAACTTCAAAATCGTCTGGATCGTCATTTGTACAGTTGGAGGTCATAGTGTGCGTTCCAGATCAAAGGAAAGTATAGGAATTATCCAAGTTTCTATAGAAAAATCCCAGTTTCTGGCTTTGGTCTCGGTTCAATTACGCAATTTCTTCAAACCGTCTGGATCGTCATTTGTACAGTTGGAGCTCATCGTGTGCGTTCCAGATCGAAGGAAACTATCAAAACTATACAAGTTCCTATAGAAAAATCCGGATTTCAGGCCTTGGTCTCGGTTCAATTACGCAATTTCTTCAAAACCGTCTGGATCGTCATTTGTATAGTTGGCCCGCGCGCCCGCGCCCGGGCGGAACCCCCCAACCCCTCCCAACTCCCCATGAAAAACCCCGGTTCCCCCCCCCGCCCCCGGCCCCAATTACCCAATTTCTTCAAAACGCTGGTCGTCTGTATAGTTGGAGTCGATAGTGTGCGTTCCAGCTAAGAGAAAACTATAGAAATTGCGAAATTGCGAAAAAAATTCAACAATAAAGAGCATTGGAAAGATTTAAACTTGAAAAAATCCAAGAAAACAAGCTATTTTTGTGAAGGAAACCTTTCAGATTTGACATGCAAATAGCGGGGATTTGGAAAACGAATGGAAAACGAATGGGAAAGGGATCGTTTGAACCGCAGAAACCGGGGGGAATCGTTGAACAAACAAGAAATTCGCATTCTTTTTCCTCTTTTTACCATTCATTTGCCATCCATTTCACCTTGTTTTCAGCGGTTCGCCAGAAAAGATGCGTTTGTAAAGTACTAGACAGTACTAGGAAGTACTAGACAGTACTAGACAGTACTAGACAGTACTAGACAGTACTAGACAGTACTAGACAGTACTAGACAGTACTAGACAGGTACTAGACGGTACTGGGAGCGGTACTAGACAGGTACTAGACGGTACTAGACGGTACTAGGCGGTACTATACAGACAGTACAGAGGTACTAGACAGGCACTAGACAGTACTAGACAGTACTAGACAGTACTAGACAGTACTAGACAGTACTAGACAGTACTAGACAGTACTAGGAAGTACTAGACAGTACTAGACAGTACTAGGCAGTACTAGACAGTACTAGACAGTACTAGACAGTACTAGGCAGTACTAGGCAGTACTAGGAAGTACTAGGCAGTACTAGACAGTACTAGACAGTACTAGACAGTACTAGGCAGTACTAGGAAGTACTAGACAGTACTAGACAGTACTAGGCAGTACTAGACAGTACTAGACAGTACTAGGCAGTACTAGGAAGTACTAGGAAGTACTAGGAAGTACTAGGAAGTACTAGACAGTACTAGGCAGTACTAGAAGTACTGGAAAGTACTAGACAGTACTAGACGTACCAGACAGTACCAGACAGTACTAGACAGCACTAGACAGTACTAGGAAGCACCAGACAGTACCAGACCGTACTAGGCAGTACTAGACAGTACCAGACAGTACTAGGAAGTACTAGGCAGTACCAGTACTAGGCAGTACTAGGAAGTACTAGGAAGTACTAGGAAGTACTAGACATTACTAGGCAGTACTAGGCAGTACTAGGCAGTACGGGTACTAGGCAGTACGGGTACTAGGCATCTAGTACAGCTAGTACATCTAGTACATCTAGCCCTAGGCATCTAGTACCCCTAATACCCCTAGTCCTAGAGATCTACTACTCCTAAGCTAATACTGAGTTCCCCAACCACTCCAAACACTCCAGCCACTCCAAACATCTTTCTGATGCACTCAAATCCATCTGTGCATGCCAGATGGAGTGTTTTTGAGTTCAAAGTACGCAGAAAGTACATCAAAATTGTGGAAAATTGTGCAGAAAGTGTCTGGGTGCTTTGCGAAAAACTCAAATTGCGCTCAAAAATGTGCAATCGACGGCCTTCTAGTGCAGTGGACTCCAGATTGACGAATCGTCTGGTTTAGTCACGCAATTTCTCGCTAGAAATCATGATTCAGTGCGCTAGAAGGCTTGCGTCTCCAGAGCAGGGCAGAATTGTGAAAAATGAGTGCAATAGTAGCCCTTCTGACGTGCTGAACTCCAGATCGAAGATTTCTGGTGGTTTTAATTGGCTACAGTAGCAAAAAAAGAGGTTAAACCATAGGCTTAGAGCAATTTAAGCAATTTTGGCTATGATCACAAAAAGAAAATGGGAAAATGAGAAAACGGTGTGCGCGGTGCACTGAAGCGCGACAAATGCATAGGAAAAAGGCCAAAAAGAAGAAAAAGCCCAATAATCCCACCAGAATACACAAAGACAAACCAAATAACGAACAAAGAATGGGAAATGGCTGACTGAGGTTGACCCGAGCGAGAGATGAGCGAGAGCTGAGCGAGAGCTGAGCGAGAGCTGAGCGAGAGCTGAGCGAGAGCTGAGCGAGAGATGAGCGAGAGCTGAGCGAGAGCTGAGCGAGAGCTGAGCGAGAGCTGAGCGAGAGCTGAGTCAATGATCTGTTTTTGGTTCAACTCGAGAGCTCTTGAAGCTCTAGATCTAACCAGAGACTAAAATGAGTCTCGATTTATCCAAGCCAGAGCAAGGCTTAGACTTTTGCGTAGTTTCCGCGTTTTTTCAACGGGTCCTTACGCTTTCGGGTATTCGGCAATCACCGCCAACTTTGAAAGCCTATAACTTCTTTCAGAGACAATATTTTTCCTAACTTTTTATATCATTTTAAAGAGGACATTTCAGGCTTTCAAATGATACCAAATAGAGCTTAATTGGATAATCGAGTCCAAGAAAATCAGTCCCAACTCTGAGCAACTCTGAGCTGAGAAATGAGGTCTATCTCGGGGTGTTATCTTGCCTTGTTTATTTGGGAAAGAAAAATCCAATCAAACTCTATTTGGTATCATTTGAAAGCCTGAAATCTCCTCTTTACAATGATATAAAAAGTTAAGAAAAATATTATCTCTGGAAGAAGTTATAGGCCTTCAAAGTATAACGATTCGTACAAAATACCCGGATTTCTCCAAAGTACCCGGATTCTTTAAAAAAAATACCCGGAAACTACACAAGAGCCAAGGCTTGTTCTAAGCCTGACTCTGGCCTTGATCTAACTCTGACAGCCTACTCCAATACAGAACTGGATTGCTGGCTTGAGACCTATTCTGGACCTAGACCTTCTAGAGACCTAATCCTAAATTTTGCTTTGAACTTGTCCTCTCTCCTAGACTTATCCCAAAGCTTGTAGCTCAAAGCTGTTCAAAGTTTGGCCTTACGGGCTAGCCTAAACAGCGTTGACCTTGATCTACTTTGCCTGTTATGACCTGATCTTGTTCAGTCTGAATCTGGCCCGGGATCTTCCGGGATCGCAGCCGGATCGCAGCCAAATTCCAACAGGAGTCATTGCCAGATGAATCATTTTTATAGTTTTCTTTGATCTGGAAGGCACACTATGAGATAAAACTGGCAAAATTGAAAATCGATTCAATTTTGACATTATTGCGTAATTGAACCGAGACCAAGGCCTGAAATCCGGATTTTTCTATAGAAATTTGTATAGTTTCTATAGTTTCCTTTGATCTGGAACGCACACTATCGGCTCCAACTGTACAAATGACGATCCAGACGGTTTGAAGAAATTGCGTAATTGAACCGAGACCAAGGCTTGAAACCCGGATTTTTCTATAGGAACTTGTATAGTTTTGATTGTTTTCTTTGATCTGGAACGCACACTATGAGCTCCAACTGTACAAATGACGATCCAGACGATTTTGGAGGAATTGCGTAATTGAACCGGTCAAACAGTCAAACAGTCAAATCTCCTGGGTCCAATCTGCCATAATCTAAGCTGGCCTAGTGTCCTAGTCCTGGCCAAATGCTGGAATGAATCTGATCACCAGACCTGACACCGATCAGACCAATCTGACCATCTAGCTCTAGTTTAATCTGGTTTGACGATGTGGATTTCTTGAAAAAGCCAAATCTTTGTCTGGCTCTTGATCGATTCAAGACTTTACTCCTTTACTAAACAGAACAAGAACAAGAACAAGAACAAGATCAAGAAGTTATTCGACAATTTTGAGCCTAGCCTCACCTCTACAGCCTCACCTCTACTGTTCATCAATCGTGGCACCCCGAGTCTCTCAGCTACAGTAAACGCGTTTTCGATCCGTTCCAAGCCGCTCATTTCGCTGATTTCCGACATTTTCACGAGTTTTGGACTAAACACTTTTGTACTTTGTGCCTTTGAGCGCAAAGGTCTTTAAACGCATCTTCTTTGGCACACGGCTCTGTTTAAGCCAGTGTGCTAGAAGACGTGCGTTTCCACACCTAAAAACCTACTCAAAGTTGTGCAGCAAAATGTTAAATGCGTGCCCGTCGCGCCACGATGACGTGAAATCGTTGACGTTAACTTCTGGATAAGCTTTGCACACATCCATGCACCACATTCGCATCGCGTCTTGCACCTAGGCAATCGAGTTTACAGAGATTTGCGCACCTAGTTAGAACAGCGCGAACGAATAGGGCTTGAAGGCTTCAAAAGTTTGCTCTTGGGGGACTCGTACTCAAGCTAAAGCTCAAGCTAGGCTTAGGCTTAGGCTCAAGCTAAGGATCAATCCAAGGCTCAAGCTAGGCTCAAGCTTAGGCTCAAGCTTAGGCTTAGGCTTAGGCTTAGGCTTAGGCTTAGGCTTAGGCTCAAGCTAAGGCTCTAGCTAAGGCTCTAGCTAAGGCTCAAGTCAAGGCTTCATAGTTCAGCAAGCTAGCAAACTATCCGCTAGATCAGTGAAGCCATTTGAATCCTTCTTTATTGTGGCAGAAAAGTCCGAAATTAAGGAAATCTCTATCCTAGATTCCTTTTCTTGTTTGTTACTATTCTTTACAGATTTAAAATCAGCATTGCCGATTCTATGAGAGCCTAAGTCTGAGCCTGAACCTGAGTCTAAGCCTGAGTCTGAGCTGAAGCCAAGCTGAAGCCAAGCCAAAGCCAAGCCTGAGCCAAGCCAAAGCCAAGCCTAAGCCAAGCCTAAGCCAAGCCTAAGCTAAGCCGAAGTCAAGCCTAAGCTAAGCCGAAGTCAAGCCTAAGCCAAGCCTAATCCAAGCCTAATCCAAGCCTAGGCCAAGTCTAAGCCAAGCCTAAGCCAAGTCTAACCCAAGCCGAAGCCAAGCCAAGCCTAGGCCAAACCTAAGCCAAGCCTAAGCACAAAGCTATTCTCAACTTCGAGCTGGTCTCATTGTTAGCTAATCCTGGTCCAACTCCGGTTGAACTTGGCTTGACCGACTGCAGTTCAGGCTAAAGTTGCTTCAACCAAGCTTCAGCTTAGCCTTCAGCCAAGCCTACCCAACTTCAGCCTGAACCTCTCCAGGGTCCAACTTATCCCAATCCACCTCAACAAACTCACTTTTTCCCGCTTCAACGGCTCGGGGGCCATACGTTGCCAGTACAAGTGCAGAATGCACCACCACATTTGGAGAACCGCCTTTTGCGAGTGTTCCGTCAACTCGCTGGGTGTTAGCTGAATAGTTACACTGGCTGAAGTTCTTAGCTTTCTAGCTTTAGTTCTTGGCCAATGTTCTAGCTTTAGTTCTTGGTCTTTTGCTTGAACCTCCAGAACTCTGAAATAAACCGACTTTTGTCCCGAAAACGCCTAACTCGTTGATGATCGTCTGGAAGAATTCGTAGCGAGATGGGGCGCTGATCTGAAAATGTCTTGTACTTGCTTGTCTTGTCTTGCTCAAATTCGGAAACGCTCGCTTTCTAATGCACTGAATTCTTTAGTTTCTTTAGTTTCTTATGACTTTCATGTCAATGACTACTGTAGAAATGAACAGTCTTTAAAAAACACTGAAAGGGCTTTGAATCGGATTACGACAGTTGTAGTCTCAACGTTTCAAAGGTTGGCCAAGCCAGGGGATGGCCGGAGTCCTAAATTTGACTCTGGTTTCAGCCTTGGTCCAACCCTAGCCTAATCTAACTAATTTGAAGCCTAGTTCGCTCGCAAAATGAACCTAAGCCTGCTCTAACGATCTGGACGACTACAGCCCGACCCGAGTCTGCTAGAGTCTACAGGACGCTAGCTCTACAGGACGCTAGCTCTACAGGACGCTAGCTCTACAGGACGCTAGCTCTACAGGACGCTAGCTCTACAGGACGCTAGCTCTACAGGACGCTAGCTCTACAGGACGCTAGCTCTACAGGACGCTAGCTCCAGTACCCTACTCTACAGGACGCTAGATCCAGTATCCTAGCTCTACAGGACGCTAGCTCCAGTACCCTAGCTCGACAGTAAACCTACAGTAACCTAATCTTGTTCTTTCCCAACTTTTAACAGCGCCAACTTAGCCTATGGTAGGATTGAAAAGAAACAGCGGAGTACCAAGTGCAACCTCCACAGTGCACCGTAGGAACAAGCCACCGAACCAAATGGGAACCAAATGGGATCCTAATCGGAACCGAATGGGAACCTAAGTCTACAGTACTCTAGCTCTACAGTGAGCCTACAGGATTGAAAAGGTACAGCGGGGTACTGTAAAGAGAGTACTATAAGCAATATTGTAACCAATTTTCCCCACCGCTGCATTGCCGGTGATTCGGCTGATCGCTTTGGCGACAATGTTCGGATCGGCCAACTCCCTTGGCTCTCGAGGCGCCTCATCGCCCAAAATGATCCCCACCCAACGCACGAAAACATTCTCTTGGAGCTCGTGCTTCTCGTCTAAAAGTTGTAATTTGTTTGGAAAGGAAATTACTGTACTCATTTCTTAAAGTACACCTTGGCAATAGTCGTTGTACGTAGTTGGACACGGCAGTTCTTTTATGGGCTTGGAAAAGTAAAATCTGGTCGGCGCCAGGATTCGAATCCGCAACCTTTCGCTTAACTGGCGGTCAGCTACGCTTGCTGTTCTGCCAGTAGCTACCAGAGCTGCCAGAGCTGCCAGAGCTGCCAGAGCCTTATGCCTTACAATAGGCGCACTAGATAGCGCATACTATATTTTACAGTACGATGATACGCAGAAGCATTAAAACAGTACTCTTTACGTTAATTTACTTTAATTTCTGATCAGTTTTGACTTTCGTAGTCGTTTTGGCTTTTTTCGCTTTTCGCTTTTCGCTTTTCGCTTTTTGCTTTTGGCTTTTGGCTTTTCGTTTTTGGCTTTTCGCTTTTCGCTTTTCACTTTTTGATTCTTGTTTCTTGATGATTCTTGAAACGATCGGGTAACTGAGGTTAATCGAGTCGTCAAGCCATCAAAAGCCAAAAGCTTTGTCGCCGAGACAAAAATTAACCTCATTTTCGGAATCCCCATAGTGAAAAATCATAGTTTACAGATTTTTACGCAAATCCGATGTTTCTCAGAGCGATTTAGCGAAATTCGGTAACTAAACCGAGATCAAGGCTTGACATCCCGATTTTCTATGGGAATTCGAATAATTTACATAATTTTAGCCTATCTGGAACGCACACTATGAAATAAAACTGGAAAAATTGAAAATCGATTCGATTTTGACATTATTGGGTAACTGAACCGGGGTGGAGGGTGGCGGCTGGTTTGTTTGTTTGCTTCAAAGTGATTGTTTCAAACATGGAATGGCCAAGCTGGATGTCACGGTGGATTTTCGAAAAGAGAAAATTGTGATTTAAGCATTTTGGCCTGATTGCGTAACTGAACCGGACAGTGGCTGATCGAAATTTGGCATATCCTGGAACAAAGTGATTATTCCAAAAAATGGAATGGCCAAGCTGGATGTCACAGTAGGTTTTTAAAAAGAGAAAATTGTGATTTAAGCACTTTGGCCCGATTGGGTGACTGAACCGGGCAGTGGCTGACCGAAATTTGTGCATGTTCTGGAGGAAAGCTATGTTTCAAAGATGGAATGGCCAATCTGGATGTCACAACAGCTTTTGAGAAAAATAAATTTCCGATTTAAACATTTTGGCCTGATTGGGTAACTGAACCGGGCAGTGGCTGACCGAAATTTGGCATATTCTGGAATAAAGTGATTGTTTGAAGTATGGAATGGCCAAACTGGATGTCACAGTAGGTTTTCAAAAAGAGAAAATTATGATTTAAGCATTTTGGTCTTATTGGGTAACGCCCGATCTCGGTTCAGTTACCCAATAATGTCAAAATTGAATCGATTTTTAATTTTTCCAGTTTTATCTCATAGTGTGCGTTCCAGATCAGATAAAAACTATGGAAATTATTCGGATTCCCATAGAAAATCGGGATGTCAAGCCTTGATCTCGGTTTAGTTACCGAATTTCGCTAAATTGCTCTGAGAAACCTCGGATTTCGCTACAAATTTGTAGACTAGAGTTTTTCGATATGGAGATACCGAAAACGAGCTGAATTTCGGTCATTTTATTAGAAAACTACGGTCGAATACTTTTTTACTAGAAAGAATACTAGAAAAAAAGTTTTTTTCTTGAAAACTTCTCACCTCGTTCGTTTCTTTCGCGTCTCTTTTCGTCTTTTTTCTTGACAGGCGCTGCAGCGGCGCTGCCCGAGAAAAGCATTTAGGGAATTTAGATTTCGAATTTCGAATTTCGAATTTCGAATTTAGAAAATTTAGAAAAAACAAAGAAAAAACCCTTTCTTTTCGTTCGAACCCTGAAATTTGAATATTAAATTAAATTAAATTAAATTAAATTAAACTTCTAATTTTATTGGAAGGCAAAAAGAAAAAGAAAAAGGAAAAAAGAAACAATTTGAGTAAAGTAGAAACGGGATACAATAGCTTATTTGGATAAAGTAAATCGATAAATCGTCGCTAAATTGGTTTTGAAAAGACAGTGTAGATTTAGAAGAAAAGGGCATATTTTAGAAAGCACTATAGCTTCCTCTTGTATCGGCACTGAGAGACCGCTGTAGGCACTGAGAGGGCGCTGTAGACACTGAGAGGGCACTGATTTACAGGCTTTTCTAAAGACACGTTTTAGAAAACAGCTTTGGAGAGGACTCAACTGTAGCCATGCATTGGGCAACTAAACCAGCGCTAATCTTTGAGCTTCCTTGAAAAGGGCTTTCTTCAAAAAGACTTATCACTTCACGATCAGTTGGGAAAACTGATGGGAAAACGAATTCAACGCGAAATTTAAAAAGCAGAAAGTTGTTTAGAAATGAAAGAGTGAGTGGCACTCGGGTGGTCGTTTTGAAATGAAACGGAAAAACGGGGGAAAGCAAGGGGGAAAATAAGGAGGAAAGCAAGAGGGAAAGATTTGAGGAAACGACACTTTTGAGGGGAGAAAAGTGATCGATTTGAGAGCAACGAAAAGAAAACATTCGTTAAACACTCGAGATAATTATGATTTTGAAAGTGATCGTTGCGAAAATGGAATGGCCAAACTGGATGTCACAGTGGGTTTTTAAAAAGAGAAAATTGTGATTTAAGCATTTTGGCCTGATTGTGTAATTGAACCGGACAGTGGCTGCTTGGAATTGGCAATATTCTAGAGGAAAATGATTGTTTCAAAGAAGGAGTGGCCAAGCTGGATGTCACAACAGCTTTTGAGAAAGATAAATTTGCGATTTAAACATTTTGGCCTGATTGGGTAACTGAACCGGACAGTGGCTGACCGAAATTTGGCATATTTTGGAAAAAAGTGATTGTTTGAAGTATGGAATGGCCAAGCTGGATGTCACAGTGGGTTTTTAAAAAGAGAAAATTGTGATTTAAGCATTTTGGCCTGATTGGGTAATTGAACCGGACAGTGGCTGACCGAAATTTGTGAATATTCTGGGGGGGTTTTTCAAAGAATGGCCAAGCTGGATGTCACAGTAGATTTTAAAAGAAAATTGTGTTTTTTTGCCTGGGATTGCCGGACGTGCCTGACCGAAATTTGGCATATTCTGGAGGAAAATGATTGTTTCAAAGAAGGAGTGGCCAAGCTGGATGTCACAGTGGGTTTTCAAAAAGAGAAAATCACGATTCAGGCTCACGATCTAGGCAAAAACAAGTACACTCATGGGGGTATCAAATTTTCAAAGAAAATTCAAATGATTTTGCGAGTTTTCTCTTATCTGGAGTGCACACTGTGAAATTCAGCGGCGAAAATTCAAAAAGCTATTCAATTCAAACGTTTGAAACGATTCAAACGATTGAAACGATTGAAACGATTCAAAGCTATTCAAACGATTCAAAGCTATTTTGAAGCGCTTGCTTAACTAACGGCCGAGCCAAGCGGGAAACGGCCGAGTCGGTGAGCGAGTTGCCCCGATTCAGTCACTCAATCAATTTTGGTGTACTTTGTGCGCAAGGGGTTTCGCAAGGGGTTTGGTTTTGCGTCTTCTGCGCCTTCTGGCACGCACTGCTCCATTTTATGCCGGTTTAGTTGCCCAACTTGACCTCAATCGATCACTGAGCTTCAATGAGCTTCCAAAACCGGGTAAAGCTTCTAAAGCCAGGCAAAGCTTCCAAAAATCCAGTTCACTGCATCAAAAAGGGGTACGTTTACAAATTTCGCGCACAAAGTACCCAAATCAGAACTCGTTTCAAACTCGCGTTGAATCAAATGTCATTTCAAAAGGTCGAGAAGATTTTGTGAATAACAAAAATGCCAAAAAGACATAGAAAACAACCACTCTTGAAGAGAAATACACGAAAAAAGAAATCTTGTGGTCATTTGAGGGAAAGAGGAAAGGGGAAAGAGGAAATAGAAAAGAGGAAAGAGGAAAGAGTGACTGTGTCCACTCTCTCAAAGAAAAGGCCCCCTTCTTTTACCCTTTCGATTGTAAAGTGTGTAGACGCGAGGCTAGGAGAAAAGATCAGAGAGGAGGAAAAGATGAGGATTTGTGCCATTTGGCACCAATACTCATACCACTCATCTCCAACTCTTTCATTGGCCTTTGCTATGGGCAAAAAGTGACGAGCTGTCCCAGCAATGCTCAAGGATTCGATCTCTATGATACGTAATTGAATCAAAATAATTTAACAATAGTACCGTAATTCTTCTAAACAAACCTAGCTACTTATCCTCCAGGATCTTTCGTTCTTACGTTACGCAACTAGTGCCAACCTGGCAATAACTTGAGCTATGTTTTCTTGGAACTTCCCAACCTACAAATGCTTTCTTTATTCAAATGTTGACAAACAAAGAAAATAATAATGTAATGTTTAAAAAACAAAGTAAAACGCTAAACAAAACTCAGTACTACGGGTAACTTTTCTCAGTGACTTTGCTAAGCAGCATTGGGCATCTTGTTCGCTGTGGAAGTACAGACGATGCGATCGACGTGTGCGTGCGGATCTAAAAAATAAGTGTACAAATGTGAATGCATTCCACCTGGTAACAAAAATCCAAACAACATACCGTGCTTTCATGCTTCATTTCGGCCATAAGCGCCATTTTCTCCGCACACCATCTCTTCACAATTCGGCGGCTGCTCCTTTTCTTTCCCTTTGGTTTTGCTGGCGCAGTTGGCTTCGTTGCACTTGGTGCCTGGGCCGAAGTTACGGCGAGACTGGCAAAGCAGCTTGCCATATCGCTCAGCTCTTGATTCTTTTGTGGCTGAGGTGACGTGTTCTTGGTACTTCCAATTCTTGTAAAATATCGCGGGTTGAAGACTTTGGCGGCAACTGTGCGCGTGACGGGCGTCTCTCGACGTTGATTTTCTGGCTCCTTGATTTGATTCGGCTTTTTAATCTTGTCGATCACTCTCTGAAAATAAGGATAGTTTGAAAATAAGAGTTTGTGCAAACCAATCGAAACGGAGGGTCTTGCGCGTTGGCTTTTGGTGGCTCTGGAATCTCCGGCATCTTGGCTTTCAAAAACGTTTCAAAGGGCATTTGGAAGGCGTTGACCGTGCCTAAAAAAATCTAAAGTCTACCTCAATAGGAAAACTGTACTTGATCTTTGAGTTTGAAGAACTAGTCTTGGCTTCGGTTCTGGTGGAAGAGGAATCGTACTTATCAAGTCTATCGGAGCCGGTTCGAGAGGTATACTGGTTAACGATACACCCGTTTCAGCAATCGTCTCATCACATTTATCCTCTTCTTCTTCTTCTGATTCATCACCGGATTCGAGGCTTGATTCATTAAGATCGTTTATCATTGCAAGCTAAATTTCAACAATATTCCTCAATATTTTTAAAAGTTACCTGTAAATTACCAGCTTTCGCGTGGCTTTGGTCAACGTGCTTTGGCTTGATATTGTGCTTTTTCACGTAGGCCTCGCGTAAATGAATGGACTAAAACAGAAAAGATTTTACAACTTCAACTCAACTTGCTTACTCCATCTTTAACCATCGTTCTCGATGAGAAAGTCGTGGCGAATAGATCCGACCAATGTTTCGCGTAGAGTCTTTCTGGATTCACTTCAGCACCATAATGCCTTGAGTAGAAGATACCGACATCCGACAACTAAAATTGATGATAAAACAGAATAATTAAATGCTCAAATTTACTGGAATTGGATTCGGATACATGTTGACAAGCTGCATAGTGAAATGCTCCATAAGTTCCGTCAAACGTGGCGCCATTGTAGCTCGAGGAGAGCCGACTTCAACTTTGTCCTTTTCTTGTGCACGGTCATTTCGAGTACGCTCGACAAAAGCTTTCGTCTTGATCAAGATCTCATCGGAACCGAGCACCTCGAAAACGATCTAAAATAGTTTATACGAGGAAATAATGAATTAAACTAACGTCATCTTTCATTGCTGCACGGACAGAACTCAGTTTGCCGGTGCCAAAATATTTCTCGAGTTCCTTTACATCAAAGTCGAATCCATGCCGTTCACGGTATCGTTGAGCAAATTTGGACAATCGGCCAGCGCCTCCCATTGCGTTCAAGACCTCCATAATCTTTCTGGCACCCTCCGTTGCCGATCTTTCTACTACCACTGTTGTTTTCATTAGCGGAGGTTGGAGCAGAGATTGAAACAGAGATGGTGGGCAGTTCTAAAAGGTGAGTAATTAAATCGTTTCAAATGTTACAACCCAACTGATACTATTGTCTTGCAAAGAGTAATTTAACAATTAAATAAACGAACAAAGTATCCAGCGTTCAAGGGCATTTGTGGTTTGAGCCAGTGTCCGAGAGGAACAAGTGATGCGGCTCTAAGTGTCGAGGGTTGGGTGTGGCGGCCGCGTTGGTTCGTTTTTGGTGATCCGCGTGTGATTCCTCGTCCTCGTAGGCAACTCTGTTGTCGCTCTTCGACCATCAAGCGTTCAAAAGTGAGTCGATTTTTTAGGGAACCATTTGTGAAGATGCTAGCGCCTCGTCCTCCTCCATGCGCCGCTCTAAAACAAAAGTTTAATACAATCAACAAATTTTAACAAAAGCCGCCGCCGCTGGCAGGCCCCCTTTTTTATATATATATATAATGGGCCTCCTTCGTGCTTGGGTTGTGTGGGTCAGTTCGTGCAAAAATGTTTTCCACCCCGAACTTTAGCCAACCTATTGTATCCACTGCAACCGCGATTGCTCTTTTTCTTCTTCTTTTTTTGCCGCTGGATTTGGAATTGAAGAGCTTGCGATGCAGCGTTGTCGGACACTCTTGAAATGGAATAAATTTAACCTCGAAATCGATCGTACTTGGCTTTGTACGCTCGTCTTCCTTGCGAATCAATTGCTGGAAAGAGTTGGGGGTGGTCGTCGAGCAGCTTTTCCAAATGTTGATATCCAAATTTCTCGTGCGTCAAGCCACCATATTCTTCCCTAAACAAAAACTGAATTGATAAACGGCTAATTTCACTAGAAAAATGCTTAGTTCTAAACACAAAATCTGTTCTAGGTACTTTTTGGGTGAAACTCTTCAACGAACCCCTGCTTTTACTGTGATTTGAATAAATTAAGCAAACGATTACATCATTAAGCTACCAAGTAAAACACATAAACTAATAAAAAAGACTCACGTGTATTCTCGAAGGATCTTTCCTGATGTCGAAGGTTCTTGAAAGCTGGCGACAATGGCGTAGATGGTAAGCCGCGTCTTTCGCAGCTCCGCCTCGAGCGCTTCATTCATTAGATGAGAAAACCTTAAAATCTTTATAAATGAATGCAACAAGAAGACAATAAAATAGGTAGGTAAAAGTTGCATAAACGATTAAAGCAATTTAACAATTTAAACGATTAAATTGTCAAGTTTACGAAGTTAGGATTTATTCTGTAATGGCAGAAATAATTTTCAATCATATAAGAAAAGGAAAAAATTCACGCAACACAAGCATTTTGCAGCAAACCAAACAAAACACATCAACTGATAAAAAACTCTTCTATACCGAAATAGCTAAAAGATACATACATAACCAAAATATATTGCCTCACTACGTTTTATAGTCTAGCTTACATTTTGGGTAAAAACTCTTGCTTTTCGACTTTTTTTCGATTCCACATTGCGAACACGACGATCTTAGGGTGTTGATGCTGCCACAGCTTTCGCAGATCCACGTTTGACGAACATTTTCAAGAGCACCCTGTAAAATACAAGTATTTAACCAACCATATTTCCGCTATTAACAAATTTATAAAAAATCGGATTTTTTTGCGCTAAACGATGAAAATTTAAAGTATGATAAACTTAGATAAAGCTTCTAAATTCGTTAAATCTAGCCCAAATTACACAAAACCAAGAAACAAACCTTTGTTATAGTGGCCGGGCTTGTGACGATATTGCGAAATAACGATGAAGCGTTCTTCTTGACAAAATTCGCCTCGTCGAACGGTTATCTTGTGTGATTGTTGTCATTTTCCTTCATTTGCGTCGTATTCAGCTCTTCATTGTTGTTTGTGCTTGTTTCCTTCTGTTCGACGGGCATCAACCAGACGTACGGTCAACTCGTTGAATCGGCCATATCTGAAATGAAAAAGGATTGTTTTAGGTGAAAAGGAAACTGTAAAACACGAATTAAAATGAAACAAGAGTAACTTTGTAAATTCTTCACCAAAAGCGCTAAAACTAGCTACCGTAAATACTTTAATTGGACCCCACCCTTCTAATAATACCTCCTCTAATAGTACCACCTCTAATACCACCTAGAGGGGAAGGGAAAGATCATACCCCCAAACCTCTAATAATACCCCACCCAACGCGTAATTACAAACAACACTTTTATAGCGGAAAATTTGGGGTAGGCCAGTTTCCGCAACAGGGTCATTTGCGCAACTCGTTATAACTTTCTTTTAAGTGGGTCAATCTTTATTTTCGGTGCGGTAGCCAATTTCGGTGTCATTTTGTAGATCTCAATAAGTACAACAAAATGAAAACAAAATCGTAAAGATTGGCCCATTTAGAAAAAAGTTATGGCGAGTTGCGCAAACGATCCTGTTGCGCAAAAAAAGTTGCGGAAACTAGCCTACCCCGAAAATTTTCATGCATTTTCGGAAATCGTTTATATTTTTAATTTTAGCCCATAAATTCGTTGCTTTTAAATTTTTTTCGTTTCCTCACTAATTTTATTTTTTCAGATATGGATTTCGATGGGAAATCGCTCGATGGATTTGAGGAATATCGGGCTTGTCGCGAATATGAAGAACACATGGAATGAACGTGATGAACGAGCCGAACAAGATGCCAATGGGAACTCGGTCAACGCTAAAGTTGAAGGATCTTCGAGTGAATCGAATGAATCATCTATGTACATTTGGAGTGCCCACATCGGCGCGAAATAAAGCAAAAAAGTGTTTTCTGACAAAAAATTATGGAGGATTTAAAAATCGTATTTATTTGAATTTTGTCTGGCTCAATTTTGAGCAAAATGCGTTTTAGTCAAATTTTCTATGTTGAATTTTCTTCCCAAGACTCCAAAATGGCTATATCGGAACAAATAAAAAACCCCGGCGGTTTTGGGTCAAGCTTGTCGCGATGAACATTTTAGTAAAAAAAGATAAAACTCGGATAACTCAGCGCAGAGTTATTAAATTTTGCAAGAAAACTGTCAAAAGCTACCGTAATCTTCACATTTCCGCTTTCTAAAAGGCATCCTTTTCTAGAGTCGTACGCAAATTTCATAATTGTGCAACTTTTTGTTGTCGGCAACAATAGCTTTTATGTTTTCCGTTTTTATGTTTACCCACTTTCTCAAGCTCCCGTTTTAGATGAGTCGTCCAAAAAAATCGAAAATTGCGGCTCAAAAGGCAAGAAAGGCTCAGTTGGATAGCAAAAAGGATGTTAGAGAAGCTTTGGAAATAGCAAATCAGAATCGAGAAAAATTGCGACCTCAAAGAAGCAAGCGAATGAAAATTCTCAGACAAATGAAAAGGGATAAGAAGAAACGAAAGTTATTTTTCGCTCAACGAGCTCGACGAATCCGCGCAAAATACAAGAGGAACAAATTACCCATTTCTTCTCCTATTTCACCTCATCAAACTTTAGCTGTATTTTCAAAAGCAGGAATTTCTCGTTTTTCACTTCGACTTCGACGGGAAGTCTGCTCATTTTGCAAGTGAGTATAAGATGAGACAGGTAATATCCGAAGTGAATCAAAAAGTCGAATATGCTATTTCAAACGGGATTATTCAATTGAAGGATATAAAAGAAGCGCTTCGTTTTCGTTTTAAACGTGTGCCCACCAAAGCGGCACAGAGAATTTTGCTGATGGCAGACAAGGATTTTGAAACGACAAATTGACCGTCATGTTTCATGATAAGAGCAACAAAGCTCAGTCTAGATACAATCACTTAATACTGGCAGTTTGGAAAGGGAGAGACGACAAAAAAAGTCTACAAAAATTTAAGGAAATCTATAGAGAGCTCGTTGATATGAAATTCACCGTCTTCATTGGAGGCGATCTGTGTTTTTTGGCTTCTCTTTATGGACTATCAAATGCAGCAACTTATCCTTGCGTTTAGTGTTTTTTCAAGGCTAACAAACAACGCAAAATAGACGAGTGTCCAGAGAAATTGGATTGGAGTGTTTATCCAGAAAGATCTATAAAAACGTTTGACGAACTACTTAAGAAAGATTCCAACAATTCGGAGTTGCGCAAAGGTGTTTTTCAAAAATACGTTTGTCGGGCTGAACCGACGCATTTCGTGCCTCCATCACTCCATATAAAGCTCGGCATCGGAAACCGCATCTATAAAGAGTTGGAACAAGAAGCCCGACAAGCTTTACCATCTGAATGAGATGCTTTTGCATTATTAGCACAAATATTGGGATTCACACGATCGTTCAAATCGGAAGATCTCAATGGTCCGAAGCTCAAAAGATTATGTGAAAATCGAGAGGAATTTAAGGTTCTAGTCAACTCACAAAAATATAAGAATCTATCCGACTGCCCGGAAAAATTTTCGACATTTTCTAATGCTATTGGCTTCACTGAACAAACATGAAAGACGACGATATAAAAAATCCTGACTCCTATTAAGCCATTGCTCGCAAAATTTGAAGAATTGAAAATTGAATCTCGCTCAACAAAGATCCATGTATTGCTAGCACATGTGCCAGAATTTCTTCAATGCCATCGTTGCTTAGGTGCAATGTCTGAAGAAGGATTAGAAGGCTTACATTCAATTTTTGAGCAAATTCGGAAAAAATCAAACATTCGGGCGAAATGGAAAACTGAATGCTCTTCTCCTGAATGCTTCTGAATGCTAAATTTCAGCTTTATTTTAGGTGAAGTGCTTAAGCACAGAAGCGTCCTTCACTTCGGGCATGAGTTTGACTATTCGAGCAACACGTCGTTCAAGGTATTATCGAAAAAGTTTCTCATTTTTTCTCTTTTCAGAAAATGTGAGCCAATTCCAAAAGAAATTGATGATTTGTTCAAAGCCGTGCCACGATATGGAGTTACGATTGTCTGATGCCTGATCGATTGCCTGATCTGATAAGCCTGATCAGTATGAAAGCTTATGAGCATTTGGCTAACTTTTTGCAAAGCTACCTTTCTATGTTTAGCTGGGGATATAGATGATAAAATAAGCTTTCATTTGAATATTTTTAATTTCCAGATAACAACATCTACGAGCCGGGCCAAGGCATTCCCCCTCACTACGACACTCATTCGGCTTTTGAGGATCCGGTGATTTCACTCAGTCTGCTCAGCGATGTTGTGATGGAATTTAAAGGTAACATTCAGTAAACTTAAACTTTAAGTGATGGTAAAAAGGTAAAAAGTGATGACTGATAAAAAATGATTTCGGAATTTTCGTGTTGTTTGATTTTGCTTTTGGAGTATGTTCATTGTTGTAATGTTCATCTTGATTAGGCTAGCTTCTACTTGATTAGGCTTCCACTTGATTAGGCTTCTACCCCTTGATTAGGCTAGCTTCTACTCCTTGATTAGGCTAGCTTCTAATCTCAAAAGACAAATAATCTTTTCATTGATTTCTCTAGACTTTCTCTTTCTACGCCTATTGCGTCGTCGTGACTCGTCGTCGTGGCTCATCGTCGTGGCTCGTCGTCGTGGCTCACCGTCGTGGCTCGTCGTCGTGACTCGTCGTCGTGGCTCGTCGTCGTGGCTCGTCGTCGTGACAAAACGAGATAAAGAGGAGGACTTAAGATCAGCGCTATCAACCATCGTTTACCTATCGTCACTGGATAGGTTGTCACTGACTTTCTGTAAGTATTCTATTTTTTTTACAAACTTACAAAAAGTTTATTTAAATGCAATAAATTCTGGTGTTTATTTGCGAAGGAATTTCGGGTGATGGGTTGGATAGGTGCCGGTCGGGTCATTAGGATTCGAGCATTGTCCAAGGTCGTAGCAAACAGCTTGTGGATGTTTTCCTATAAAAACTTATTTGATAATAGTATAGCATAAAAACAAGCATTACTACTTAGGTAAACAATGCTTAAAACACGACAAAAAACTAGGTATAACAAAAGTTTGAGCGGGCAAAAGAAAAAGCGCAAAGTTTTGAAGCGAGTAGGCATTCTACGATTTATTTATAATCAGACATTCTACCATAATTATAGTAAAATCTATCTAGATATCTAGTTTATATGATCCAAAGATGAAATTGAACTTTTTCGTTCACTCACCAGCTTTCAAATCGTTGTAGATGGTGTCAATGTTGGCGTTA